CATGTGCTTCATCAACTGTAATGAAAAAAAGTATACAGCAATTCGATGAGAGTACTTGTAACTCTGTCACAGACGTTGAAACGTGGTCAATCAAGGAGGACGAAGAAACCTGTGTACTTCATGACAACTACCTCGGACGTCACCAATATAAAAAGGAATCCACGTGCTACTCACGTGACTTTCTTTCAACCATTGCAGCCTCCACTATCTGTAGAGATGAATTTAGCCTAGATGTGTACCACCAACAAGAGCAGTTCATCATGGACGGACACCATAAATTACCACGAACAAGTACAGAAGCACATTTGAATGATAATAAGCTTGACCATGGTCCTGCTTCTGAAAAACCAGGTCAAAATAAAGAAGCATACAAAAAACACAAACAACACCCGAAACTTTTCAAATTGTTGCAAGTCATGAAAAACGTCAAGAAAGGTTTAACCAAGAAAGCAAAAAACGAATATGACGAGAAGAAGTCTGTTGAGCAAGAACAGGACTTGAAATTGCCTATTGTACAAAGTGTTCAGATTCAGAACAAACAGGCAGTAATGAGAAAACTTCACCGATTCCGAGAAAGTTTCCGAAGAAAGGATACTCGACAACTTCAGACACTTGCAATGCTGTAAATATTGGAATATACTCTGTTTCGACGTGCCAGATTTATTTATGTGTTGATGACTTTGAATTGTTATATAATTTATGAATTGTTTTGACTCTAAGACTAGTGCTATATTTATTAAAAACATAACTCAAGAGTTTTGTTTTTGTTAAAATTTTCTATTTAGTTCACAAAAATCAATTGTGAGCTGTTCAATGCCGTCGATTTTCTCTCTGACACCACTTTGGCAAAATTGAACGTTATACCACATCATCATCAGCGAGGTCCGCTATTGCTATGAATTAAACATAAGGGGTTAAATAAACAAAATGCTACAAAACTCTACAACACCTTTAGCTGTCTTCTGTTTTTATATCGATGGGCTGTTGTCTCATTGACAAATACCACATATCTCCTTTATTTAAAATTTTTTAATATCCGGGGAAATCCTGTAAGGAATTGATTGATTTTAAACTTTGATTAAATGATATAAATATTTGTAATCCTTTAAAGAGTATGTCGACTTTTCCTCCGTAGTTTTTTTTTTTCATTAAAAAGGAACGAAAATTCTAATGTGAAGGACAAAGTTCTATTAAACCGTAGTTTAAGAACAATACATCTACGAATCTCTTTAAGAAGTACTAGTATGACCCATTTACATTCAAAAATGGTTGCCAGCGTTACTAAAAATATGAAAATTGACAAAAACCCCACTTTTTTAATCGACTCCTCCAAAACCACTGGACAAATTGAGACCAATCATAACGAGCATTTTTCTTTTTAAATCTGCTTTATTCACGTCCGATGATTCCTTCGTCAAACAATGGAAATATTAAAGTATATGGTACTTCCATGGTCAAACAAACATGATCAACCAAATTGGTCAAACAATACATTGTTTATGTTAATTGAGAATGATGGTTTAGAACTATACATATCTTTATTTCTCAACAAACCAAATTACATTGGTATAGATATACACAAAATAAATATAACATAATGTACATATGTACAGACATACAAAAGTTATACGAAATCAAGGCAGAGGCAAATATCATAAATTACAATATACATATTAAACTAAATGGTACATGAGTTTCTCAGGAGAGCCTACATGCATATTGATTTGTCTTATAAATTTACCCAAATTGTTAAGATCAGAAATATTTGTTCATTAAATTTCAATGAATTTGGTTGATTTGTTTACCTTTTTCTCAATAACTGTTTACGACCATCATTAAATACAGAACATGTAAAAATATAATGAAATTCATCTCCGATGTCTCCAGAGTTACAATTGAAGTAAGTATTTTCTATTTTCTCTTGCAATATTTTCCCATCTACCAGTCTCAATAGCAAATCTATGATTTCCTGTTTTCAACCTACATAATGTAATAATATTTCTATCATCTAAATTTTGAAAATAATATTCAAATTCACAGTTTTCTTTATACATACAATAGTTTAAAGCTTTTGGTGATTCTATTAGTGTGCCATTTCTGTTTAAATTGATAAACAAGATTTTGTTTAACAATAGTATATAGCCATGTATCACTTACAAAATATTGGGTATCCCACACAAATGACAAACCAGATTCATCAAGAATGGATTTAACATTTTTTAACCAAGTTATATCATTTTTATATGTATACAATGAGTACCTATATAGAATTGCAGGAAGTTTTTCTTGTTTTCCATACAATAATTTTGTACAGTAGTTAATTATACGGAGCTTTATATCGATTTCCAAAGGATATCTGCCCAATTCGCCATATATCATAAAATCAGGTGTATACTTTTTAACCTTAAGCAAAAGTTTGCAGAATTTCATATGTACCCTTTCTATAACCGAATTATTATCAAAACCCCCAGACTTCACTACCATAAATTAAAATAGGTTTAGTCTCTGATGCATGATTTTTTATTATTAATTGTTTTTGGCTTTTAACTAGCTTACAGTAACTGCGAGTACTCTCAAATCATACTTTCGTGTTAATTTGACCTGTAGATACAATTTGTAATGTATTTTTGTTATTTAATGCTTACTTATGCAGTGTTATATCTAGTATCACTAGTTTTAATATATACCACCTTTGATAAGTGTTTAGTATGACGATAAATTTTCACTTTTGTACGCGTACTAGGAACAACAAAATTATTTATTTCATAAGAATTATTTCCGTATTCAATGTATACCTTACAACAAAATTATTTACCTGTGTACGTTTTTTTATTTGGCGGCATTTTGTCCAAGGTTATGGTTTTCTTTTTTATATTGTTTTACATCTAACCCCCTTGTTTTATTAATTTTGTATCATAGATCAAATTTATTCGTTCAGTGTATGTTCACTTGTTTTTTGTTAATATTTCTTTTGATTTAGTTAAGCCATTTTAATTGATATTTTATAGTGTGTCTTTCTGTGTTGTGATGTTACACTATTGTTTCAAGTAGGGTGAAGGTTGGCGCCTATTAAAACGTTTAAACCCGCTGCATTTGTTTTCACCTGTCCTAAGTCAGGAATCTGATGTTCTGTGGTTGTCTTTTGTTGATATGGTTCATAAGGGTTTCTTGTTTTTTATATAGATTAGACCGTTGGTTTTTCCTGTTTGAATGGTTTTACACTAGTCATTTTTGGGGCCCTTTATAGCTTGCTGTTCGGTGTGAGCCAAGGCTCCGCGTTGAAGGCCGTACTTTGACCTATAATGGTTTACTTTTACAAATTGTGACTTGGATTGAGAGTTGTCTCATTGGCACTCATACCACATCTTCTTATATCTATATATGTATCCTTGGTGGAGAAAGCTTGGTCTACTGGTAGCCTTGGCTCCTGACTCACTGCTCGACAGTAGACGAAGTATTAGATTGGGTCATGCTACTGGGCGCGAGCGTAGTAAACAATCACTACGTAGTGGTGCCACTGCTCTCCGTTCGCTTATGTTTAATGCCATTCATCATCACTGTTTACTCTTGTGCTATGTCTATTTTCTGTATTTGCTATTAATTTGAAAATGTACTTGTTCCTGGGTCGTATTTTCCATTTAATATATTGTCTCGATCAAGTCCCCTGATTCTTCTATATGACAATGTAGGTAGCGGAAGTTTCTTCAGTCTTTCTGGGGCTAATTGAATTTGTTGAAACCTGGTATTTGTCATGTTGCTCATTTTTACATTCTCAATTGGATCTATATAGTTTTTTGAACAGAAATCTGCATTATATCTAATGATGATAAAAGTAATTGAATTTTTATAACAAGATGTACTATTAGGGATCGACTGATGATTTCAATCAAGGATTTGTAGTACTATACAAATCCTTGTTTCAACTATCACTTATCTGTACATCTTGTCCATAGTTGGGTCATTTTAAAAATCTCGGCGGAGATCCCGAATTTGGCAAACAGTGATGTTTTCAGAAAAGTAGTTGGCAAACATTCCGAACTTTCACACAATCTTGTACCTGCATACAAGTTTCCTTTTTTTTAGTTTCTCTCTATTTATAATAGTTTTCAAGATTATAGGCCTCTTAAATACATGGGTAAAATTGCCTCTGATGGGCATTAACTCCTACAAGGGAACCTTGATGATTTCAGCCAGGATGATTCTTTTCGTAGATCTTATCAAGGACGTATGTTAGTTATACGTCCTTGGTCATTGTCTTAATGATCAAGTTTCTGTTTATTTTTGTCAAGTTCAATCAGAGACATACTTTACTGAATATAATGTCTCTAGTTCAATCTATTCAGTAAAGTTTTCAAGATTTAAGCCATAAACATAAAATGGATAAAAATCATCATTGCAAGATAATAACTCCTATAATGAGCCGTTGGACAATTTCAGTCATTTTAACTCATTCATAGTTCATATTTTTCTGATAAAGTTTAATATTTACAGTTTCTCTCTATCTACCATAGTTTTCAGTAAAGGCCAATAACTCCTATAAGGAGTAGTCTAATAATCTAGGCCATTTAGACGGATTTCTAGATCTAATCTTACTAATGTTTTGTTTGCTGTTTAAATATAAATATTCACTCAATATCTGCGATGTCCTGCATATATATGAAATATTTGCACAGACGTTTGATAATGACAGACCATACATGTAGGTTTATACATCCACAATCAGACCAAGTAATTTCTATGAATCATAACTAAGTCAAAAGTTGGTCAATAAGTAAACTTTTCAAGTTATCTGTAGTTTCTAACTGTAAAATTGGTGGTACTTAGAACATGGAGATGAAATTTACATAGTTAGGCATAAATCAACTAAGAACTATTGGAATATGGTAGTTTTGTCTCATTTATATTTTAAAACCCAAATTGCTTCTTCTTGTATCTTAATCAATACTGACACCAATAAAAGATTAAAATTTTTATTTTACTGTCAATGAAAGACATTTAACTTATGCACCACTAATTAATAGACAATCAAGCTGTAAATACATCAACAATTAATGCAATCAACATGTATGTATAAATACAGAATAAGGAAATCACAAATAATATAAACAAAAAGAAAACAAACAGATCATTTCTAAAATAAATCATTTAAATATAAATAATGAAAAAGTGTAGTAAAAATAAAATTCTTTACAAATATAAGCTATGTCTTGCCTCAATTTAGTAAAAATATAGATCTCTAATTTCTTTATCTCATGACAGTAAGCAAGTTACTGAATCTGAATTTTGAAAGATTTGAATTTTAATCAGATTGGTCTTGTCAATCTGGCTGCAAGACTATCAGTACTTTGGTAAAATAGAAATAAGACTAGTGAGCAAAGTGTGGAGAACCTTCCAAATATTCATTGACACTCTTGTAATTGTAAGATACCTTTTATTGGTTTGTTATATGTTATTCATTTATTTGCCACTTAGCTTAGTGCATTGAAAACAAATTGCAGTGTGTATATTTTATACATATATAGCAAGATAGCAATACAAACGATAGCACAAGTAGTCCAACTGTCCTATAAAGCAGGAACATAACATGTTACTGTGCTCGTCTACTTTTCAGATCCTAGATAGAACAAAATATGTATGGAGATGTGGTATGATTGCCAGGGCAAGGATGTAAGCAACTACATATCCCTCTATGGCCCAATAAGCAAACATGTACTGTATAGTAACTAAGCTATGAAAGACACTTAGACTTGAAACAATTAAAAAGAGAAAACCACTGGCCTGATTTCAGTATCAACATTAAACGAAAAATAATTATGGCAGATGTCAAACATTGACAACTGGACCATAATTTGGTATATTGACTGCAGTAACTGTGTGTTTGACCTTGACAACGTTAAGCAATGCTGATGTCTGTTTTATTGGAATTATGATTTTATCTATAGAATGAGTGAATAAATTAATATTTTATTGAAGAAAACATTAGATATGCTATAGCAAAAAAAAGATATTTACAATTACAACATGAGACTCAGTCATGGTTAACAGCAGAGAGCAATACATATTGCCCCTTTGTTATCTTCCCTCCTAAAAAAATCATTCATAAGCACTTGATAACTGAAAACAGAACAAGACAGACCTTTACCGTTAAAAAGCAATGACATCTTTGCATTCAATTTATTTATTGAAATAATTCAATGAAAATTATGGTACAAAAAATAACAGGTTAACCAACATTCAAAACAAGGGTCTGAACACATTGTTCAAAAAAACAAGTATCATAGTCAACTAATAACAATTTTATTGTAAACTGTAAATAAACCTTTTGTTGAGGGAGCCAAAGCTGCCGATCATAAAATATCTTTTACAGATTCATTTGAACTGTTTATTTATTCAAACCATTGTTACTACTGAATTGATCATTCAAAGACTGAAGAATTTCAAATATTGGTGTTGCCTGAACTTGAATACATGCTAAAATAGGAGATTCAATAATAGGTATATAACATAACTTATAAATAATTTGCAAGTAGATTTTAAAAATGCATTACGATAAAACAAAAAAATATATAGATATAATCGTTAACAGGATATTACGCAATTAAAATTTGATAGTCAACAGGAATTGATTTTTACAAATGTATTGACTTTTACAAACGTATTTGGCACAACTTTTTGGAATTTTGGGTCCTCAATGCTCATCAACTTTGTACTTGTTTTGGCTTTCTAACTATTTTGATCTGAGCATCACTGATGAGTCTTATGAAGACGAAACGCGCGTCTGGCTATAAAATTATAATCCTGGTACCTTTGATAACAATTCAATAAGAATCCATAATAAGTACTCAATTACTCCCAAATCTTAACTTAAAAATTAGTTATTTACAATGTCTGTCTGATAATTTCAGCTGTATCTTCATATCCTCTCTGAGATGCAGCCATCATTGGAGATACCCCATCCTGATTACAATGACGAGGATCAGCTTTGTGGTTGAGTAATAATTTAACTATTTCATTATGCCTCATGTCCGTTGCAGCATGCAATGGAGACAAAGTTGTATAGGTAGAATTTTTTGGGATTGCACCCTTTTTCAAAAGAAGTTCTACAATTTTTGTGTGACCCTCCCTTGAAGCTACATAAAGAGGAGACATTCCATCCAAATTACATCCATTTGTTGTTTTATTTGATCCATATTCAAGCAAAATATGAACGATTTCATAATATCCCATTTTAGCAGCAATAAAAAGAGGAGATTCCACATCTGCAGTAATTTTGTTTGAATCAGCTCGGTGTTCCAACAAATATTTTACAACATTAAAATGCCCCTCTTCTGCTGCTTTATAGAGAGGCGTCACACCATGCACAGCGTTCAAATTAGGGTTTGCCTTTTTCCTCAACAAAACTTTCACAATGTCTAGATGACCATTTTGAGAGGCTATGTGCAAACTACTTTCCTGATTGTCTGTACAAATATTTGGATTACAATCATAGTCTAAAAATAAGTTAACTACATTTTTGTGACCTTTTTTAGAGGCTACAAATAATGGTGACTCTCCCTCATTCAGAGAGTCATCTCTGGTTAACATATAATTACCTTCGTTTTTCAATAATAAACTGACCATATCTTCATGACCAGATTCTGATGCTCTGTATAATGGAGTTCTTCCTTCCTGATCACGCGCATTTACATTCATTCCCATTCTTATTAACATGTTTGCTAGATCACAATAGCCTTGACCAGCTACATCTAACATTGGTGATTCAAAACTATCTGATAAGTACATTAAAGTTTCATCTACAATGGCTTTATTTTTCTCTAGGTACACTATTAAAAGATCTCTGAAAGTTTTAAATTCTAATTGTCTATTTGAGAAAACACATTTTGAATCACCATTGTTGATGTCTTTGCATAAGCGACGTAGGTAATTAGATTCATTGTGAGATGGTACTTTGATAATACATTCACTCATACTTTCTCCAAGTATTTCAAACTGAAACCTATCCCGAATGATCTCAGCATGTGCTAATTCAAGAACTACATCAAACATATTGTGGCCATAAAATGATACAATAATATCAAATATTTTGTCATGAATTATGCTATATTGACAACCAACCTTCTTCACATATGATGAGATTAAACTATTTAACTGAGATTCTACAACTTTTTCTGAAAAATTTGACTGCATGATACATTGTTGAGAGATTTCTTGCAAATCTTGCCTAAATTTTTCATTTCTGGACAACATACCGTCACTTATACAATTATTGAACAAAACAAACAAGGCTAATGTTCCATATGTTGTCTGATCATTCTCTTCCTTTATCATTGACAAGTCGTCATTGATTACCTCAACTGGATTTGAAAAGAATCTGTAAATTTCGACAGAAGTTTTCCTGGAATACAGTTGACACAGCAAGGGGTAAAAATGGAAACAGTCAGAGTCTGGTAATAATTTCAAATTCTCAACTTCTTTACTTGGCAGATAAATTTCAGCTATTGCCCTCCTTTCTTCACTTGTCATAGCAAATACTGATGAAGTAAAATCACAAACAGTAGTTTGAACAATCTTAATATTCCTTATTTGTCTTTGCTTAAAGACTTGTGACCTAGATGACATTACAACTTTGACATGGTTCTTGGCTAAAATTTTCTTAATCTTCTTCGACAAAGTTGTCCAACCAGATATTAATTGCAAATCTACAGAAAATTTGCCAAAAACATCGTCATACACAAAAATCTGGTTTATACTAGGATCATAAAATTGAATTAAGTCTGAAGCAAAAGCAACAGGAACTATAGCATAATTATCTGCCTCATTTAAATTTAAAGCAATGTAGTGGATGGCTGTGGATTTACCACATCCTGAAGGTCCAATCACAGCTACAATGTTTTCTTCTTTAACTGATCTTGATAACTCTTTGATTGCTTTTGTCTCAACAACTTTGCTTTTTTCTGCCTTCCACTCTTCAATAATTTCTTTGTTAATGTCTGTAAATGAACAAATAATTCGGTGATGAAAAATGTTAATTTAACCTTTGGTAGTTATTTTCAATATTAGATTCCATAGATTTATGTCAGTGTGAAATGGTATAACATAAATCAGGTTATCACCAAAAGAGTGGTGGCTAAATTTTGGTGTGTCAAATTGTTGGCACTTTGGGTCAATTACATGTTGTAATTTTGCCATTATGGCATTCAATGTTCAAATAATTAAAATCAGTGTATAACATAGTTATTGTTTTGAAAAGCAAGACCCAAATTTTCTTTTTTTTTTCTTTTTGTCTTTTACAATATCCGTTTAAAATTGTATTAATATTAAGTTCCTCACTATTAAGTCCATCTGGCATTGGGTCTTTCCTTTTACTGTTTTTCAATTCTAGAAGAAGTTCTTTATCCTTTTCATCTAACTTAGTCACCTTTAATTCCTCACATGTCTGTTTAAATTGGTTTCCACCTATTCTTTGAATTGTCTTAAAAGGAATCAAAACAGAAGATTTAAAATTTTTTTCAAAACTTCCTTCAAAAATTTAACAAATGCAGATGATTAATCTACTAAAAAATGGGTCTATTGCAATTTCAAAACAGAAATTTGCTGCCCTAAATCTGGGTCAGCAATTTCAGTGTTTTCTATATATGGACTGCGCTCTGACATTTCATCACCTACCAAGTTCTAAAAAGGCCCTCAGACATTGGAGCAATCTCGGACTAATGTATAATATAGTCAAGTTCACATGATAACATACAATCTTACAAAGAATGAGAACTTTCTGTAATACTATCTCTGAGAATTAAAATAAGACTATATAAATTTGGTGCGTCAGAAAAGTTTTTCTTAATTTATCTTCTTTAGGCACCCATAAATCCCAAAACTTGACAGAAGTTGCATTTTAACATAGAGTCATTTAGTTAAAATAGTGTTAAACATTAAATAAAGGGGGTCAAAGTCCCATTAACTCCTGTAGAAATTGTCAAATCAAAATGACAGTATAGTGTGTTCAACACATGATCACAAACAATCCTACCAAGTTTGATAACTTTTGCGAAATGGTCTCAGAGGAGTTCTGTTCCCAGATATCATTGTGTTGTAATATTTTAAAAATGGTCAATTTTATAACTCCCATAAAAAAGATGAATCAAAAGGATGTTATGGTATGGTCAAGAGAATATGATGACAAATAATCCAACCAACTATGGAAGCTTTCTGTAAAATGATGTCTATCTATTGTGTTCAGATGAAAAGACATATAAAGACTATTACAATGTTCCCTGCTGAGTCCTTAGGCATATAAGGAGAGAACAAACACTGAGTGTCACAGTGAGGCCTTCAATATTGAGCAAAAACACAATTGCTTAGAAAAAGTGTTCCCATATGGGGATGTGGGGTCAAAATTTCTTAACTTATAAATGAAAAATTGCTGTCACCATGACTTGATAAAAATAGAAAATTACTGATGGAGAAAGTGACTGTTTTTTAAACACCAAGGTGACTATGTATTGCTTTTGGTGTCAGGAAAAGCAATCCCTTCCCAGTACTTGCCCAGTAGCGTGACCCCTGCAAATAAACACCTTAAGTTAACAAGCTCAGATACAGATGAGAAATCCACGCACACACAAATAATATGGGATTTTTTACAAATCTCCCTCCTTTCAAAATTTTTCTAACTATAGAACTCATTTCAGATTTATATAATTTTAGTATTTATCCATTATTTAAATGAGTAGAAAGCACCATTTAAATTTAAAAGGATTGAACAATAAAGGTTGCTAGCATACATGTAGCAACACAATAAAGTGATGACAATCAAACTGACAGACGGACAGACAGGACAAAACTATAATACCCTCTGCAACTTCATTATTTTGAGTATAAAAATGGATAATTGAAATGACCTATAAATATACCTCACTTAATTCCTTCCACTTTACTTCAAAGATTTCATCAGACATTGAACACTCTGTGGAATGCGCAAACTGGTTCCTGAAATACTTCAATCTAGATAGGTTTGCTCCATCTGTTGTACTGTTGGGATCAGGGTGTATATCCACTATAGGTATATCAGCAAGATTCCTTAATAAACAGATCATTAATGAACAATCGAAGTTCTCTGATGATGCTTTACCTGAAAAAAACAAAAGTTTGAGCATAAAGTAATTTCAAAAATTTTCCAGGATATCTGAAACTGGTTAGGCGTGGAATTAGAGAGGCATTAATGTACGTTTTTCCTAAAAAAAATGGTTGACAATTTTTTTCAAGCATATAGTACATTTTGCATATATAAAGTATGAATGAAAGCTATTTTGGTGCAAATCTTAACATGATAATTTACTTTTAATTATTTAAAAACTTTTGATTTAAATTGGTAACAAAATTGCAAAAAGCCTTACCTGAAAACCTGAATTATTACTTTTTTTAGAGACACAATGAAATAAATTAACCATTATAACATTTGGAAAAATTATCCTATAAACAAACCGTCAAAAAATTTTAAGCCACTTTGAGAGCTCCAAAGTTAAGTCATGTAAGCCTTGGCCATAACCTGAACATGTACATACATATTGTTAACGATTTACTTTCTGTAACCTTTGGTATCGTCAAGTGGTAGAAGATAAGTTGTCACTTACAGAAGGAAAATGTTCTCATACATGTAGTATTAAAGTAAGGACATTGTGAGGCAATTGATACAAATATATATGTTTTACAAATATTTTAATGAACATCAGTATATTTTTTTTAAAATTATGTTGCAGAAGTTTGTACTGAGAATGAACAAAAAGGGATGCAAGTTAATTCAATGTTAATTTTTTTGAATGCCAGTGAGCAGAAACAAGTTTAACAACCCAACAAATTACAATCATTTTTATTTACTTTTTAAACAGGAAATTTGAATATCATTTAAAACTAAATATTGCAACTTTGTGTAAAGCATTAAACTACACAAAAACATATAGAGTACAGTTTAATAAATGAATCTGCCATACCGGTTCTAGGAAATAAATGTTCCCATTGAGCTGCATTGATTACTTTTTCCATCTTTAGTTTGTTAAGTTTAACTTTGTTCTGGTATAAAGTTTTTTGTAATACAATAGGAGCAAATTCTGAGTTAAATTTAATCCTAACTGCCTGGGGTGCTACCTTCATCATCAGATAATAGAACCTCAGATTGTTTGACTCCTCCTTCTGTAATGCTGCAGCCATTCTTAAAGCTGAAATAAAATTTTAATTATGGAAATTAAATAAAAAGAGAGAATGGATAAACATTATTTAACAAAGTCAATTAGCATGATTAGACAGCATCTCAACCTCAAATGTTAAGCAAAATAGACATTTAGATGTGACTTTACGGTTCCAGTGATAGAAAGCTCTTAATTGTCAAAAGTATGGTCTTGTGACATTGTCATGCATGTTGTTAATGACTTCAACAAATTATATGCATACATGTACAATCAAGTATGTAATAACAACACCAAATTGTCTATAGCAAAAAGGAAAAGCCTGTGACAACTGACAGGTCATGTGACTTAGGACAACAACATAAACATGAAACATGTTTCATCAGAAGGAATTAAAAAACAGAGCTGTGTTTACTCTGAGTACAGACAAACCTATGCACCTGGAAAAGTTTAAAGGCATGGCAGGCACCATATACCGGTAAATGAAATTTCAATACAATTTAACTATGCTACAGAAAATCAAAAACTTTGAAAAATACCTGAATTTGGGATTCCTTGGGGTCCACTCATTTACACAATCTAAATCACCTATTGTTCAAATTGTTGTGCAGATATCTATTGTCCATAACAATCAATACAACTAACTACTATTATAGATAGGTTTCGATGTGACGTAGTTTGAGTTATTACCCTTGGCCGTCATTTTGGAGGGGTAAATGGTTGATTTTCCTATTTGACTATCCAAATTGAAACATGCCAGTACAAACAAATCTGATGAAAGATCCTTACTAGATCATAGTGTCAGATGAATCAAGCAAGGCTTAAAGAAATTAAAATTGTTTAGAAAACAACTTATTCTCAAATCTAGAGGTCACTATAACAAGTTGAGTTTGGCTGATTTATGAAGGAATTCGTGCACTTAGACCCCCAACATGGCAACAAACGGAATTAACTCTTACACAAATTGCGTCAATCGAAACCTGTTATTTAGCAACCCAAATAATTCAGTCCCTCCCCGTGATCGACTTTCCCACTTGTGAGGACATGAACTCCCAGTGAAGTTTTATTTTCAATAATCCAATACTACCATATCTACTATGGCGTTTGTAATAACTTCAAATTGGGAAGATCAAAATCTTCTTGATCTCTGCGAATTGTTTCATTTTCTCTGGTGTCTCAGAAATTCAATTTGAGATAATGAAGCGTGTTACTCGTATACCACAGTATTATATATTGATTCTATTCACGTAATTTGCATTTTACCATTTTTGAGTTGGCATTTCGTTTGAAGTATGTAAAAGCCTTAGACAATGGAGGTGGCATATTTACTTGTACATGTAGGTCTACAAATCATTAAATCAAAGTGAAATAATGAAGTAAATCGTAAAATGAAATCAGCTTACAACTTTTCAGAATACATGTACGCTAATTATGTTTACTTTAGATCTTGCCCCGAGCTGATAGACAAGTTACCTTTGTGTTAATTAATTTTGTAAAATCCGAGTGTTTTTAAAGTAAACAATAGTAATTAAGTATAGAGGTTAGACAATTGATCTGTCAAATTAATTAGCACGACTATCATTTCAAAATTTATTGATGATTTCAATCCACATTTATATCAAATCTATTAATAAAAATTGAAAAAGGTCCGGTAACCTGTTAGCGTTCTTGGTTTTCGATATTCTGTCCTTCCGAAGGTTAACAGGTTATCGGAATAACCATTGACAACACTAATTAATATGGTGATGGAACATATCCCTGCACATAAAATAGAGATTTATATAGTTTAATTGAGCATCTTGCTGGGATATAATCCCTAGCTTATAATTGGATGTGACAATCTGTCATTGCTATTTTAACTTGGTGGTGGGTACGCCCGGCAGTGTTGATAATTATATCTTTATACCGTTATCTGGAACAATTGAATTATAGGCGTAGTTATACTGGTTTGTGCACTGAAATTCTCACTGTAAATTGTTTCCAGCACATGCATACAGCTGCTTACCCCTAAGCTACAATAGTTGTGTACTCCCAGACGGCAGGACTGAGGAGAGTGGAGTGAAGACTGAAGAATAAAGAAGATTGATTGATTGTTGGTTGCTTAAGCCTTAACATCCAGTGGCAAATATTTCATGCATGTTCAGGTCTTCAGGACGATGAATAAAGAAGGACTTCAAGGTACTTAGGTTTGTCTGTGAACAGGTGAAGAGTAAAAAATGAAAACTTGTTATAAATTTCATGCATCCAAAGCGCTTTTCTGGCTTTACCCTCAAAGTCAAAGACTAGACTAGAATATTTTTATTTCCCAAATTACAGGATTGACATAAAATTGATTGACATAATTGATAAATACAACAATAAACAGCACAGTGTACATGTACATGTATATTTAGTATATTAGCATTGGTCAGAATCAGAGCCAACAACAATATATATTATGAATGCACAATTAAATGATAAAATTACATAATTTGCATTCGTTATCAAATTATTTACTAGACTTAGTATCAATATTCAGACCTGATCTCCTTAATTCAAAACACTCGCCAATATAAAAGCCCATATTTTCCATAAGAGATACATTTTCTTGTGAAAAAATGAAGCTCATCCTCAACTTTACCAAAATAGCAATTTAAACAAAGACGCTCGGATCTTTCTATTCATTTTTTGGAATATCCGTCCGTCTCAATTTTGAAAGAGTGAGCGCTTATTCTTAATTCACAAATTGACTATCTTTTTTTAAAATCCTGTAGTTCTAAATATTTTTCTTTTTAAAAACAATCTTTTATAGAAAAATAAGTACCAAGCTTTCCTTTTTCTGAGTTAACTGTTTGATACTTCAGTCATTTCCAAAATGTTAAATAACTTTCACATAGTTCATTTTTAACATACTTACATAAAGAACCAATTGGTTGGTAAAATTTGGTAGTTTAATCTCTTTCTGAATATAATCTATACTAGAGTACCATGTATTAACATTAGAAATATGTAATTGTTTGTTTATAAATGCATCAAATAATAATCCTTCTTTCAAACCTTCGATCCAGTCTATGACAATATTTTAACATTCATGACATTGATAAAATTATAGTAAAATAAATAGGAAATCTACCAAACTCTGACATCACAGCTATGTTACTGGCTCTTCTGTTTACACCAAGAATATATTCGTAAATTTATAATGACATGTATGAGCTTTTTCAGAAGAATTCTGACCAAAAAATTTTTCTAATATATAATCCAAGTAATCATTATCTTGTTTACATGCAGCTGAATCAGTACGAAACATTCCCCATATTTCACTGCCATATAATAATATAGTTTAATTGTATGACCGTAAAGATGTAAAAATGTGGCAATACTAGGGTAAGATGATGACAAGCATCTCTGTAGCTTAAAACATGCTTTTAAAGATTTGTTGTATAATTCATCTTTACACTGTTTGAGCCTTATAATGAACCTTATTGCATATAGATGTTGGACTACCTTTATAACATTAGCAGTATGAGATCTTATTTTACTGGAAAAAAGCAGCAGTGGATGCTGACAACGTTGCTCAATTGATTATTCAGTATTGTGTGTTTTCGTCTCGCAAGTGTGAACCAAAATACAAAATGGGCGGTCCTCAAGCAACCAACCAATAGGCGGTACATTAGTCTGGTCCTTTCAGTACCTGATTGCTAAGGCAAAGTTTTATACTGCAAAAGGAACCAGTTACGGTAAGATCTACCTAAAATAATTAAATCCTTACCGTAGTTGGGACCAATATAGATAAATGTTTACGGTATTAGATGTTAAAGTAAAAATAGAATTACAGGCAGAAGATACAAAGTCAAAGGGGACGATATAAAGTTATGTGATGAGTCGGCCCTTGACATTTATTTTTCTCATATTAAACTTTTAAATTTAATTAAGTCTAAACTCGGTATCAGCGTATCTGTATCTTTATATTTTCTGCCAATATAGGCACACCTTCAGTATGAAGTCAACAATATCATTTCACCAGTACTCGGAATGTTATAAGTTAAAAGTATCCAATCACCAATAGAATATGTATAACGATGTACACTATATACAATTGTCGGTATATTTCTACACCAATATCACACACGTTCTTGTCTATAAAATCTAAAAAAAAAAATGAGTCCTTAGATAGCATGAGATTTGCAGTCCACACAACCTTTTTCTTAAATAAAACTATGAACTTAAATAATTTTTTCTAGATCTTTTCTGACCTAAATTTAAGAGTTTGTATCTATGTACATGGAGCTTATATATTAATGTTCTACAAGCAGGCTCTATATGGGTGTTAATAAAAGCATATAGTTCAGTGGTTAGGGAGGTATCACAGTAGTTCACTAATTGATATGGATTGATAATAACATGGATGAAGTCTACATCTATATCATATATAGTAATGTTTAGTAGTGCTAGCACTTTGATATATTGTTCTCGCAGAGATTTCAAAAGAGACGCTCTATCAGTTTCTAATGCTGTACATGAAATCAGAAAATGTGAAATAGTTTCATCCTCTTTGCCGCAGACTCTGCAGGTGGCGGATACCTCATTTTTGTTTAATTTCGCTCTATTTGTCTGTAAGATGTAGTTGCCAGTTGCAAATCTGGTCCTGATTGGTAATTTGATGATATCTCTACAGTTTGATGTATTTGTTGTTAGGATTGGATGTATTCTCCTTGTCTTGTATTCACCAGAAGAATTTTAAACTAGAGTATCTCTCAGAGTCTTTGTTAATTTTGTCAGTCCAGTCAAGTATGTATTTTTTTTGTGATTAAACTTTTCCATTGCGACTTTCCTAAAGGGTTGTTTAAAAAATCCTGGCAGTATATAATATCATATTTCAAACATATTTTCTTGATTTCGATGAACCAGCTATTACTTTGGTTTGTTTTTAATTGTAGTTGTCTTTCTGCTAGTCTCCATTCAATGGTAGATATATCTGCTCTTGTAATATTCCCAAATAAAGATAACGCTTTTAGATGTAGTTCAGCCTCTATAGGTAGGGATCCAC